ATTTAATGTTATGGAAACTAATTTGTTATGCGTTCTTAGGTGAATAGTTTGGGACACAAAACCAAATTTACTCTTTGATCTCAATTTTGTTTTATAAAAAAAGTCAAAGTATTGATCTATTTATATATATATACTTGAGTATCCCAAAGCTTGTTTGTTGTTTTCAAAGTGGTAGAACATTTATTTTCCACTCTTTGTACAATTTCTTAAAATAATAAAATTCCATTTTCTTTAATGAACATTGATTATTCTTCAGTAAGAAGAAGGTAATGTGACTAAACATCTTGTCTGTCCTAGATCAACTCCCTATCTACAAGGTACCACATACATTTAATAAATGCTTTCTCCATTTGTAGGTTTTTACAACACACGTTTTCATATGCTTCTGCTGTTTTATATTCTCCTCTAATAGTTTTGTTGTGAATTTATTCTCTAACAAGAAAATGGCAACCTCATACAGTCTCACGACTTGAATACAATCTACATGCTGGTGCTCCCAAATGTACACCTCCAGCTCTGCGGTCGCCACTGAATTCTGGATGTTCCTTTTGGGTGTCTAATAGGCATCTCCAATTTAACAGAACCGTAATTTCTAATCAAACGCAACGACCAAACTCCAGACCTGCTCTACTCCCAGAATTCCTTTTTTCACTTAATGACACTATCATCCCACCAAACCTCGTTATTGTCCTTGGTTTCTCTTTCACACCAATTTCTAATCCATCGACAAATCCTGATAACTGCACTTCCCATATTTATCTAGATCTATCCACTTCTCTTATTATCTACCCTTTTTATGCTGGTCCCAACCACCATGATCTTCTGCCTCTATTCCTTTCTTCTTCTACTCTTGCTCTTCAGGGTCCATTTTCCTTAGTGAAGCCAAAATTATCTTTATAAAACATTGATTAAATTGTATCATCCTCTGCCTACAGTCTTTAAATGGTTTCCTGTCCCACTTAGAATAAAATATACACTCCCTACAAGAGCGTATCAGACTCCCCTTAATTTGGCTTCGGTCTTTCTGTCCCCTTCACTGATTCTGTTCCAGCCACATGGCTTTCTGTTTGTTCTCTGAATACGATAACCCTAATTCCTGCCACAGTCCTTGAATGTATTATTCCCTCTGCCCCAAACACAATTCTCCCAGATTTTTCAATAATTCTTCTCCTCATTCAGTATCAACCCAAACATTCCCTTTGAGTAGCCTCCACTAGCACAGTCTTCTTAAGTACCTACCCCACCTCATCCTGCTTTGTTTTCTCTAAAATGTTTGTCATTTACAGTTATCATATTTGTTTGTTTGTTTTTTCTTAGAATGTCAATCCCATGAGAGCAGAATTGTATCTGCTTTGTTCCTCTGTAACCTCAGTGCCTTGTGTAGAACCAAGCCCATAGTGGGAACTGAATAAGTATGGTGAAATGTTTTGAATAAATTAATTATTAAGACATTTAAAAAGTGGTGTTTTCAAAGTTAAATCCTTACCCATTTGTTTGGTAACTCTAATTGCAGAGGTTACATGGTAGAAAATGAGGTGCTGTTCAATGGCAGGCCAAGAAGAAAAGTATTTTGGGGCTAATGTATGGAGCCAAGTTTTGCTAATAAATATGGCTGGCTTATTTTCATATACTTACATATGGAAAAAAAAAAGACAAGAGGAACATTTGCTTAACTCTGGGATAAGAGATGGCATTTTGATAGTACACTAACAAATGCACTTAATATCCATCACAATAAAAAACAGATCAAGTTTTATCCAAACACAAATAAGTGATCCTCTAAATCCATAGATTGGATTCTGAAATGTGTTCCTACTTCTACTTCCTCCCTTGCCCCACATTACGCCCAAATTAAGAAATTCTCACTCATGGAAGACAATTTTCTGAACCTTTTCAGATGCGACACTATAGTGGGCCCTTTTAACTGCCCTTTGATATTGACAGTACAATAGCCACCCCTGCCAGGGCACACATATTATCAGCAGTCAGAAGTCTGGCAAAATCAAAAATTTCTCTTCCTCTCCAGGAGAGCTGGTTTAGGAAAGAGCATGTTCTAAGACATTAAAGGTGAATATTTTAGAGACACCTGTATAAAATATGACTTTCTGCTATCTTCTAAAAAAATCTAAATTTCAGACATATTATCCTAGTAGACTTTAAAAAGATAGATCTCAAAGGTAGCATTTTATTTGATATTCTCCTGTAACCCTAGAAGAAAACTTAAGCATGAATAATTGGAGATATGCACACGAATATAAAGATGAAAGAATGGGGCTCAATTTAACACAAGAGCTAAAAAAAGTGGGATTATTTCCCTCTGCTACCTTGAAAAGGGTATGGCTTTGAAACCTATGAAACAGGAAGGGAGAAATGTTATGCTGAATGAATCTTTCTTCTAAGAGTTTTTATAAACACTATATTTTGAGTATCTACTTAGTTCTTTGTGAATATTTTTTCTCATATCTGTGCACTCTTTCCTATAGAGCAGCTCCATCCTTACCTATAACAGGGTTTTCCATCTGTTTTCTCATGTATATATTCCACAAAAACAGTCTGAATGCACACCCACGTGACACATATATTTATGTTTCTAAACTACATGCATGTGCCATTGCATTGTTACATATTTTATACACCTTCCTACAACCAAAAAAAAAAAATTTAACAGAATGAGATAGAATAAATATACACTGAAGTTCTACTTTTCCTTCCCGCCCTCCAGTGGGTCAGCTTATGCACTCCCTGGGCAACGCTTATCCCACTTTGGAGACCACTAAGATTTTGCTGTGTCTCGATGAGAGGAACTGAATAATATTAAAGCTCTTTTGATTTTATGATCAATTGTGCCCTACATTATTCCAGTTTTGAATAATCTAGATCTACATAGCATATTATAGTGCATAATGCTGTGAGGTGCCACCTAGATCAAGGCTTTCGTTCCTCCAGCTGCAGGTAATATTGTTGGCTACTGATGTCTTAGTTGGTGGTGACTCCGAACTGAGATAACATACCTCCACCTTCACCCCTGTAGCCCTCATCCAAAGACTGGTCAATGTAGGGAAATAAAGACCCATCTCCTTGTCTCAATTCACGACCCCCTGAAAGAGCTCTCCCAGCTCCAGAGTTTGTACTGGGTTCAGATGAGGCTTCTGTTGCAGCCACAATACAGTTTGATTGCTCCCTCTGTACAGCGCGACTTCCTCCAGTCCTTTTCAGATTGCAAGGGCACCCTGTCATAAATCTCCTGCACACAAATATCTGGCCCAGAGTCTCTTTTCTGGGAACCCCCAACAAAGACACATAAACATCAGCAGATACTTAAAAATTTAGTTTGCTTAGGTGTTGAGTTCCTAATAGATTAATTATGAGCAACTGGAAATTCAAGAATTAAACTCATATCCCTAATTTCCCTGAATCCTAATTAGGTTTTCACTGAGTCAAGATTTATGTCACCTGGAGTTCTTTTTTTTTTTATTGTTATGGGGCAGCAAGTTTCCAAAAATTTGACAGGAAGAGTCACTTCCCTCCCTCTGAGTGCCTGAGTGACATTCACTGATGGGCTTAATACTGTTGCTTCCAAGAATAGGCTTTCTCCATGCTGACCTCAGCCATTTTGCCCTAGGACCATAGGCTCTGGTCCAGCTTCCACTGCTCACTCTGACCCCTCCTTCACTGTCACTTCAGCTCCTGACTGAATCCCAAGATTACTCAGTTCCAAGAAATGTCTCAGCACTTGGCCCACTAGCAGCATAAGGCACCTGCTTACTTTACCTTGGAGGTTCCTCTTTGAGGGAATTGGTTTAACTCACTAGAGGCTGTGAGGTTTAACTTACTAGTAATCGTGACAATCCTTTTCTCTTACACTTTTCTCAATGGAACTTATTTTTGGCTCTGCCACCCAGGGTGAGTGCTCTGTTTTCCCAATGCACCAGTCATAGAATAAGCAAAGTAGCTATTATTGCCTCTTGGAGGGGAGAAATCTAGGGCATTGGCTACAGGCCCCCATGTCCTGCTTACATATCCTTTGCTCAAGATGTAGAGACTCTCGTAAAAACCGAATCTTAAGAAATAGCCCCACATAAACTTAAGTTTTGCAGAACAATTATGGGAAGCATACCAATGACCCTATAATACTTAATATCAATAAAAACTCAGTACTATGTTTAGGTATAGTTTCTGACACGTAATACTAGAAAGAAGTATCAACTATTCATACAAAGTTTTGTTTAGATAAAAATGAAAATATATGCACATATAAATTGTTATAAAAATACTAATAACCAGAAAAATAGTCCTTCTTACCCCAAACCTCAGTTTATGCAGAATGGAGGGTGATCTTTATAACATGTACCATAATATTTGTTTCTAAGTAATACAATAGTTCAATGAAATATTCTTTTGATCAATATCTTCATGCTTCATATGCCATGTATTAGCAGTAATATACTCACTTGATTAAATAATATTATTAAAGAAAAAACAAACATATTTCATAAACATTAGGTAGATTATAAGATAACATGTAAAAGGTGGTATGGAAAATAAATATAAGACACGCATATTATTCATTTATGACTTAAATTTTGCTGAAAATGCAGCAAAAACCTTCATAGCAAGGCTCAGAGTTACCTGGAAGGTGACTTTGGCATCTTCCATGCTCTGCTATGTGTTGAAGTTAATGGTCACAGTAGTTCCTATGTCTAAAGTTTATTCTTTGAGGATGAAACTCATCCTGAGATTCTCATTATTTATTAAAATGCTGAGCCTGAGGCTCCTTTCGCAGACACAGATTGCCAACCCAATAAAACACTGCAGCACATTGACTCTATCTGAAAATCACTGAACCAAGTATTTCCAAAACCCTAAATACAAATAAGTTATTCCAATACTTAATTTAAGGTAGGATTATCAGACAGGATTAACAAATTTATTACATAAATGAAAAGTAACCACTATTATTTACCACTGAGTATACCAATAAATAGAAGGTCAGCACTTACCTGAATAACATGCTTCAGTTTATCAATAATCTGATTTATCACAGGATCAGCTCCTCTGACTTTGACTTCAGGATTTCCAGACTGGGCTTTGATCCCATTTCCAACCACACGCTGAGTATAGCTAACAAAGTGAAAAGTGAAAGATATATGACTTAGCAACCTGGTCAGAGTATTATCTGCCACAACTATTTGAACAGATTTGAGTTCCGAACTTCACTACTTTAAAAGAGTATATAACAATGTATCTTTTCTTCGAACAGAGCCTGGCACAGCTGTAATGTTTTTCCTGGTAAAATGCTTAGCATGCAAATATAGACTATTCTAATGTTTTCTCTCTAAAGAATCAACCAAAAATTAATTGTGTATTTAATAATACTTACCAATATACTCAAAGGAGGTAATATACATCTCACTTTGTTACCAATTCTTGTTGAATTAGACTTGTCTGAATGAATATTATCTGCATCAATTTACTTCATTTTATACAGCATATAGATGAGTCCCAATAATACTTTTTACATATTGGACTGCACAAAAACTATATATGTATTTTAATTGCTCAAGTCAAAATCATAAACATTATAGATAAACAACCAAAACCGGCAAAATCTTCCTGGAGAGGAAACAAAATCTGTTTTCATCAAGGTTCACCTAAGCAAGGTAAATCATGCTGTATGTAAACCGGTGGTTCCACAAGTGGTTAAAGTCATTGCAAATCACTACCTTCCCAAAAGGACAAGCATATAATGTCAACTTAGTATTCATAAAAATATTTAAATTTATCAGTCACAAAGATGTATTAAGTGCCTCTTACTATATTCAAGTCCTGTACTAGGTAACTGGGATTACATGGAGGTATAACACTCAATACTTGTCCTCACAATACTCATTATCTACCTGGGAATATAATGTATCAATTAACTTGTTCATTCATGCCTTCGTTCACTACATTTTACTTTACTTTAAAAATACTTACTAGATTCAAGCAATATAATTATCCTTATTTTCCTGACAGTGTGGTGTAGCATAAAGACAAGTGAACAGTTAAAGCACATCACTAAAAATGAAGAAGATGTTCAGTGTGCTATGGGGATAGCTAGAAGGAGTTGTTATGCCAAGTGAGAGGTTGGACAGAGTATCATCTGCCACACTATCTACCTAAATAAAGCATTGCAAAATCCACTGTATGGTCCCCAGTCAAAACACAGATTACAAGCATTCAAGAAATATTCTTGTTCTTCCGATATAATGATCTGAGAGTTGTGCTTTCTATGGTTTTCAAGACTGAGGCTAATTATTTAGTAAACGTGGATGTACACTAATTTTATGCCCTTTTAGGGAAGAGTTAGCTATACTTTTCTCTGATATCTGAGAAATTTCTTTATTTCAAGCACATCAACTAATGTTCTTTACTTCTAACTACTGCTATTATGAAGCTACATCAGTATTTTAATGGACTATCAGCTTTTTTTCCCTTAAAGAGCAATTGGTGAAACAACTTATAAAATTCAGAATGTTTCTCTGTCTTAATTTAATGCAGAAGAATGATGGCTTGAACATAGGTGGTAGACATTGAGCATATGGAGAAGTCCATTTGGACTAAGGCACTTGGGGAAAAACTAAAAGAGAAGTTATAGCTTGAGGTAGCCCTTGAAGTATTAAGATAAGAATAGATTATAGATGGTGTAGTTAATGCCAACTTCAGGGCAAAGGATGACATCCCAGAAGGGAAAAGGCAAAGGCATGTGAATAACACACACAGGAAAGAAAAACCAGGCTTTTATCTACAAAAGATGGTTACAAATGGGGGAAAGTAAGAGATAGGAAGCCACTACCTGAAGATTCCATCCTCTTTATGTTTAAGACTCCCCTCTAAGTAATTTGTTTGATTAAAATATCACAATAAAGAGGCCTCAGAGACTTTTCAGCAAGTATCTTCACATTGTGTTTAATGTAATTTTCCTTTCCTCTATTTGAGCAGAGTATCAGAACTATCCACATGCACCCTCTGAATTTTCTTCAGCAATGGAAACTCTTTGAAAAGGTAAAAGGAGGTTCCACAGTGGAGATGGCCTTACAAAAGCAGTTGAAGGAATATCCAGTTCTTCCCAAGATTGTGCACACACAAAAACCAATTTTAAAAAGTGGATCAAACAATTCCAAATTAGGTCTTTCTAATGATAATAAATGATAGAAGTCTTTGATATTGATAATATCAATGGGACATGACAAAATAATGATAGTAAAATCTTTTTATATTTAAAACAACCTTGAACCCACTTCTTTATGCAACAATAGAGCAGTTTAGAGTTCGGTATTCCATTATACATTAGGGACTTGGCAACATATACCAATAACAAATAGTAGAAGGAAAGCAACTATGCATATGCTATTAATGTGTAATAATGTTCTTTAGTTAGGCAGAACCCAAGTAAACTATAAATATTAGTCTTCTCTTAACTCTTTTGGAGGACTGTTATATTTTTCTTCCAAATATTTCAAGCATATTGCACATGTGTCTCCTTTATTAATGTGTTGATTATTAATAATGATGATAAATAATATAAATAAATAAATGGATAAATGCATGCCTATGATTCAGGCACTGTTTTAATTACTGTCTTTAGAGTTTGTCAGTTCATCTTCTTGGTAATCATTCATTGTGGCCACAAGAATGTGCTTTATAGTCTTCAAAGTACAGAAAGCTTAATTGACTAAAGGCATCTTCTGCTTTGCTATCTCTCCATCTGCCCCCCACGAATGACTGAGCGCAACAAGGATGCTAATGCAGGTCCATCTCTAGAAGACATGGGGCTCCTCTGATGGCCAATTTTGGCTCAGGATTCCGTGAAGCCCTTGCTGACCCTTCCTTAGATTGCAAATCATGTCAGTACGCTTCGACTCGAGCTTCCTTTCCTCTCTCCTTTACTCTGGGTCACACCTGCTTCATAATCAACAACTCTTCAATCCTTACACAGTTTCCTCCCCATTTTTTCCCATAGTCATTTCCCTTAATAAAATCCTCTCGTGTTTAATCCCTTTTTGGCATCTGCCTTGGAGGCCACAGGCTAATACATCATATAATATTTGTAGTATAATTATTCCCATACCACACACATCTGGGATCTGGGATCTAAATAGGTTAAGTAACGTTCCCAAGACAACACTGTTTGTTAGTGTGCAGCAAGGATATGAACCCAGGGAATGTGAGCTGCAAATACGATCACTCAATAATTATTAGTGAAAGCTCCAGAAACCAATAAATTAGAGATACAGTTAGCATGGTGCAAAGTGTTATTATTGTTATTTGCTTTAACTATAAAAGGGGATGTACTGTTTTTTTCAAAAATCTCCTCAATGAACAGTTGTATATTACCAACTGAAGAGTGAAGTAACAGTCGCTGGCAAGGTGAGAGGAAACTAACAGACTGCAAGTTTGCCGTAAGATTTTCATACATTTCTCTAGAAATGCAGACATATTGCAAGCAATGGAAACTGAGACTCATGTCTTAATTTTAAATAAGCTGTTACTTCATTCACATCATGGTTTATTTACAGACTATGAAACTTTCTTTTAAGATGCAGTAATGTTATTTCACATTAATCTGAAGCATTGCTTAGGTTTGCTCTTAACTATCACAGTTAATAACACACTTACAAAATTCTAAAGATTTAGATAAAACTTATATCAGAATTATAATTGACCAAGAATCTCATTCCAAACAAATATATTATTGAATATTTCAGGATCATTATTCTTATGTATCATTTAGGTAAGAAAACATGATGAAAAGTAGGACATTTAAGGTATTTCAAGTAAAATATAATTTATTAAAATCAGTTATTCTTTTCTGTTTTTGTAAGGTTAAGAACCACAATGCAATAGTGGTACATACAAACTAGAGTGGTTTAAATGTAAAAGATAGATGATACTACTCAAGGATATGGAGCAATTGGAAGCCTCTCCCACTGTGGATGGGAGTGTAAACTGATTAAAAAAAAACCCCACTATTTGACATGTATGCTAAAGCTAAAAATATCCTATGACCCTGGGCATATACTCAACCAAAAGACAAGTATAAGAATGCTCAGAGAAGTACTACACAAAATAGCACCAAACTGGACACACCCAAATGTCCATAAACATTAGCGTGGACAAATAAATGGTAGTATATTTTGTAATGAAATACTATATAGCAATGAGAATGAATGAATTACAACTGTACTCAAAATCTTATAAGCTAAATATTGAATGAAAGAAGCAAGATATGGAACTTACTCTACGATTCCATTTATAAATAGTTCAAAAACTAGTCAATGATGCTCTAAATCACCATAAGTGCTACTCTAGGAGACAGTGTCTAGAAGGTTGAAGGGGAATTCTGGGGTTCTCATAACAGCATGTTTCTTGATTTGAGTGTGGGTTACACAGGAGTGCTCATTTTATCTTAAAAAGAAGTATTAAACCTTACAGTTAAGATTGGGATACTTTACTGTATACATGTATTTTCAACCTAAATAAAACATTTATATTAAAAATTCCTTCTACTCTTTTTCTTAATGTGTATACAACAGACAAGTTTGCATTAAACTTTGTACAAACAAAAGATCCACATAGGCATTTTTAACATGGGCTAAATGGTTTTGTCATCACTAAATGAATAATTTAGGATCCTAGTTTGATATAAAAACTTACTGCCTGCAACTTTAATTTGCATGCAAAAAATATGGTTTCTAAATCAAATTTTTTCTAACAAAGACTTTTTATTTGAGTTTTTCTCATTATGAAATTTTAATAAATCATTAATCACTCTTTTTGCTCCTAAATGCACAAGTGATGGATAAAACATTTCAAGGATCCCTACAGAGGTTTCTTGACTTGAAAAATTGCTCACATTTCAATGAGAAGGAGGGAACAAAACACAAAAAATAGAGAGGCAAATTTTTTGTTAAAAAAGTAATAGACCCACCATCTGTGCTTATTTCTTCTAAGCAGGTCTGGTAATGGATGACAGCAGTTTAATAGGAATACGCGCTCCCCAAGTACAACTCGTTTTTCATTAACATGGAAAAAAGGCAAGCACTGATATATTTACATTCTATAAAAATGTTTTAAAATGA